GAGTTGTTCTTTCCTGCAAATTGATGCGATCCTTAATTATGAATGATTACGTAAAAACCGAGAAACAATATCGTCAATTGTAAGCGTAAGGGAAAGCGATTAAGAGCGATATCGAGAGAGAACAAAAAAACCAGCCAACATCGAGCGTATTCATTCAACATGTGTCAAGCAAAATTAGCAAGCCTTATTTATAAAAATTATATATGGGTTGGGTGATAAAAATTGGCAGTGAAGCCAATTCTCTCTTATACTAAATTAGATGAAAAACAAGTAACATTATGGTAGGCGATTAAAGACGCTACACCACTTCCCTTAATATAAGATGGGCTTATCTCAAGTTCTTCAAGCAAACGTGGAATGTTGCAGCCTTCTAACATTAATAACTGAGTTGCGTTCAGTTGCGTATTAAAAAAGTCGTTTATTAAATTATAATGACATCGAACTTGTGACGTCACTTTAATCAAGTCTGCTTTATTAGTTAGCTGTTTTAAGGCGAATACAAGCATCTAAAATTTCGGTTCTTATGTTTTACTATTTATTTTTATATTGTTGCGAAAATCCCAAATGCAGTTAATTCCAGCTAAGTAATTTTCCTAAGTAATAATAAATAAAATAAAGAAGGAAAAACCAAATTCACATTCGTAGGCGCGTCATGCAGCTGCAGGCCGTTGGAAACGGTTAGCGGGAAAAGCAGCCAGGGATTAAATATATAAAAATTATTGGGTATAGTAACATGCTTGTAAAAATGTATATAATTAGAATATTTGTGGAAGGGAGAGTTAGTCGGGCAAGAACAATTGAGCTGAGAGTACGGCCAGGATAAATTGTGATAAATAAATATTTCTACTGTTAAGGAATGCAATTGCAAATAAAAGAACCTTGACGTGTATTTCTCTTGAACAAAAGACCCACGGTCTAGTGGTACGGACTGTAGAGCAGCGCAGAAAAGCGAATTTTATAACAATATATTATACTTGATTTTCGAAACTAAAGTCGGTCACTTGAGATGACCCGCGGATCGTAGGTTGCCGACCTCTGGCATATGTTAGAGAATTACTTTTGCCATTTCCGTTTGCTTGCCTTTTGTAATTGTTCCGGTAAAAAACGGCTTTTTACTCGATCTCTCTAAAATTGCTTCGATCTGTAAACGAATCTTTTCCTTTTGGCAAATTCCTGGAAGTATTTTTCATCAATGAAATGAAAACAAAGCAAAGTATGCTTCTTTTAAATAATTTTTTTTTACATAAATTTTTTAATAAATTTTTTAGCATAAAAATTCTATTAATTGTGGTATGAACTTGGTGCGGATGTAGGCAACATCAAGAAGGGCTTAAGATGGGCGCTACTTTTATTATAACGATTGATTCAGAATCACTTTTGACGTTTGCCTGTCTGTTTTGTATCCTACAGATGTTAATTTTTGATAAATTTTAATGAAATTGTTCATACCGACATTTTTCGCCTCAACGACGAACACTAAGTGAAAGTGATTCCGATTAGTTCATTTTATGGACCGCTTTTCCTTTTACATCTTATATCGAAGAGTTGTTTTCTATATATGAATAGCTGTAGGGTGAAGTGGAGTATTTAATAGCCGACCGTAACCTACTAGAGCGTTTTTACTTGTTTCAATTTTAATTGCATATCCTAAGTGCTTTTTTTTTTTTTTTTTTTTGGACAGGTTATGTGCGAAAAGTATTTCTATTTATTTTATAATATCTGATAATATTTTAAAATGCATAGGATTGCGTGCTAATAATTGCATTAATTTATGTGAAATAAGGTAAGGGGAAAAGAAAAGAAAAGAAACAGCAACAAGAACAATAGCAGTACATATATGAAAACAATGGCGTATGATAAACTAATAACTGTATGAAAGCGATAAATGATAAATAACAAGTATACGTTAAGGTAATCAGCAAATGCATTTGTAGAAACAAAAAAAAAAACCGTTACTTGAAAAGTAAATTATAAGCTTCAGCTAAAAGTCTTATTTCCGTTATATGCAAGAAACAAAACAAAAACTATAAAAATAACAATTAAAATAAGCTTTCATTTAAGAGTGCGACTTGCGAAAAGAGAGAAAGCAGAAAAACGGCACAAGTATATTGCCTATTATAACAGGCAATTACTGTTAAGGATATAATAGTGAGATGTAAAGTGCATGTTATTATGACGAGGGAGGCAGAGCAAGTGAGAGTGAGAGAGAGACATTGTTATGGAGAGTATAGAAAGTAAGAGAGTAAGTAAATGAAAAGAGCAAATAACTTAATTTTGTCATAACAGGTAGATAGATAGTTTGTTCTCTTTGCTTACGTAGTTCTTTCCTTATTAACAATAACAACACACACAGCAAGTAATAGCAATAACACACTTTAATAATTCAAATTCGTTGTGATATTGTGCAGAAAATGCATTTCGCAAATTCTTTTTAAGGTAACTGACGAAACTAATTGCATGCGTAAAAAACGCAACGAATTTAATAATTAATACCTTGAGTGGATACTTAAAAGACTCGATATTATCTCATCGTAAAACTTCTTCAATTTGGTTTCGCATGATTGCATCGCCCTTTAGGTATCTGGATTTGGTTATTTTGTCAATGACATTCTCATCTCATCTTGTGCAAATTGATTTTCTGATGTAGCTTGAAAGTAAAGCAGTCTTATATGAGCTGTAGCTTCCCCTCGCGATCCACCGTTCAGTACCCTAGATCACTTCATTGAAGACAGTTATTCAAAAGAAGACTTTGTATGGGCAGTGCGCGAAAAATTGGCAAAATCCGAATCGTATTCGTCCTCGGGCCAAAAAACGCCAGTGTGCCAAATTTCATTAAAATATCCCAAAAATTGCCACCTGTAGATTGAACCCAAGAATACAAAACGGACTCAAGGGCAGTTGGACAGACGGACATACAAGCTTGGATCGACAAAAGCGATTTTGAATAGAACGGTCTAATGCATACACACGAACTTAATATACCCTTATATCACAAGTGATGGTGTGGGATAAAATAAAGCACAAACGAAAAGTTTACAATTCACGAACAAACAAACGAAAGAAAGAAGAAAGCAAAAAGCGACATCCGAGCTGGGAGTTTCATTCACGAATCCCGCCAAGCTTTAAAGATTAGAAGTTAATTCAGGATTGCGTCGTTGAGATTAAGTTATAGACATCATTTAGATTCTTGTAAAGGACCCCGATTTTATCTACACTGACTGCCGCTGCCATTAAGGCTAATTTTTATTACTCCATGGAAGTTTATATAGGGTATGTGCTACACTTTATGAGTAACAAGCAAAGAACACGGAAGAAAAGGGTTTAAAAAATTTTGTTGCATAGACGTTTGGACGTTGTAGGCGTATTCTTTCATTCATCTGCAAATTCTCTTGCAAGTTTGTAAGCGATATCTTCGTTTTTCCTGGGAGACTGCTTACCACAGGTACGACAGAGTTGCGCAAACGGGCAGATGAATGTAATTTTTGTAGATTTATCTGCTTTAGTTTATGAGCAATTAGGAAAAAAAACAATTTTTTATTCCTTTTGAGAAACAGATATGTCTTTACTTTACTGAGTATTGTAGATGTATCTTTAAACGAATTTGGCCCATTTTCCATGCCAACCTTCGTGCAAGAATTTCCAATGTTTCTGCCAAATTTGAATTCGATAGCTTCATTTTTGCGGCTAGGAGAATGCTTACAGCTTTTCATTACACGGTGGGACAGACGGACAAACGGACGTGTTTAAGTCGACTCATAAGTTCATGCTGAACAAGAATATACAGATTTCGTGGCGTCTGTGAAGCGTCCTTCGGGCAGTTGCAAACGTTTTGGCAAAATGAATGCACTTCTCGCCGTGCGGTTATGGGTATAATCAAGGAATCCAATTACATAGAGCGGAGAACTGTATGGCGTTTAATGGTCACTTTTGCTCGTTGTATAAGGTTTGCATTTATCTTTCACTTTGCAAAGGTAAAACAAAAACAAGTCAAAATATTGCAGTCGGACAAGACCGACTATTAAATACCCTACACTACATTGTCTAACACAATTCTTATTTTTATTCTAGAACACAAAAATTATATCTTGATTCGACTCAATGCAGCACAGTTTTAATCCTCACATAGGGCAGGATCCGAAAAAAGGCGTAGATGGCCCAAATTTTGTAGAAGAAGAAATTGTTATAATACTATGGGCCAGTCATCGTAACTACAGATCAAAACTTAGACTTTTCTGCTCCTTAATGGGTTAATTTTCGTGAAAATCCTTATTAGAGTAGTATCCAAAAAAATAGGCCGACGAGGTCCAAATTTGGTACATTAAAATTTTTTATGTTAAATTACTGTTATGATATAATTTTCTTCATGAAGCATTGAAAATTATACTCTTTTGTCGTATGAACTTCAGTTATCGCTATATGGGAGGGTGTTTTAAAATTGTCCCAGCCGGTCCAAAGTTTCCATATCACTTTAGAATGCCCAAATACTGTTACTACTTAGCCACTTTTGAAGAGAAATTTTGAAAATTTCTATTTTTTTCCATATAACGACTTTTCAGAATAGGATGTTATATGGGGAGTGTTCGAAAGAGTAAACCGATCCGAATCATTTTCAATTGCATTCGTCCGTGAGTAAAAACGCGTTACTGTAGCAAATTTTATTGAAATATCTTAAAAATCTTGGCCTATAGCTTGAACACAAATTTACATGGATACATGTCAGGCGGACAGACGGATAGGAGGGGTTTATATCAATGCAGATTAATATTCTGAATCGATCGGTAT